TATATATTTTATTTTTAGGTCCCTGTTTTAAATGAAGGTCTCTTGCCTAAATAGAATGTCTTAGCCTTCAATGAAATTATAACTTCAAGTTATTTACAAGGAAATTTTATCTGTTGTTTTTGATGTAGTCCCCTCAGATGCTTTTTTTAAAAAAAAGTGGAAAAAAGATTTTATATACTAGTGCATTTTTTTAAAGTAAACAAGATTATAATACAAAATAGGCTTTGGGATTGCTATACAACAGGGGCTGGCCAATCATTTCTTATAAAGGGCCAGATGGTAAATATTTCAGGCTTTGCAACCGCATGGTCACAGGTACCCAGCTCTGCGATCACGTTGTGAGAAAAGCCCTAGACAAGAGCACAAGTGAATGAGTGTACTCATGTTCCTGTAAAACTTTACTTATGGGCGTGGAAATCTGAATTTCATGTAATTTTCATATGTCATGAAATACTATTTTTTAAAAATTTTTCCTCAGCCATTTAAACATGTAAAAACCATTAAACTATTTTCTGTTTTTAATCTATATAAAAACAGATGGAGGAGTGCCTTCGACTCACAGTTCTGTCAATTCCAACCTCTACTACACAAGAATAAAGAAGAATGTGGAAAGAGGTATGGACGCCTTCAGCGAGTTGTAAAATAATTAAGAAACCACATTGGAAATTTAGTTTAAAACAATTTCTATAAAATAGAATTTTGTTCATTTTAAACCACATCTAAATGAGTTTCATTTTCTTGCTATGAAAATCTATATAAACCTATATAATTCCATGGTAATATAAAATAGCAAGAGCAAAAATCTAACGAATTTTATGATACATGACTGAGCTTTTTGAGCGAATGATTATTTTGCTTTTCTTAAGAGATGACTAATGAACGAAAATTGTTGCAGTGTATCAGTAGGTGAATATTTTAAACATTTTGAATATATAAAAATTTAAGAGCAGGGGGGGGCGGGCTATCTCAGGGTCAGGCACAGCCATCTCCTCCACCTCAGCCTGCAGCACCCAGACCTCTTGTGCTTTGGGGGTGGGGCATGTGTGTCGGGGCCTCAGGCCTGGACTGAGCTTTGGGTGCAAGACAGTGGTGACCAGGACCTACACAGCTTCACCACCTTCACATGACTTCACCCAGCAGGTCCCCCACCACCAAGCACAGAGGCCCCCTTCTGGGGCTTGCCGTCCTGTGTTCTCTTTCAAGTATCCCTCCCCAGGGAAAGACGGTCAGGGCAGGGTCCGGCACGGGTGTCCTGGGAGATCAGCCCCTTACAGTATTTTCCCATGGGAGAAAGGGGCACACCCTGTCACCGTGGGTGGCTGCGATGGGCAAAGATGCAGGACAGAAGCTCAAGCACTGAGAGTCCCGAGGGAAGAGGCGACCTCCGGTACCACCAACCCCACCCACCTAGAACAGCGCGCTGGAGGCCAGGGCAGGGGGAGATGCGCTCAACGGGCCCAAGGAACCCGTGGCTGGGACCCGGGCCACCCAGCCCGCCCCTGAGTTTGGAAAAGGGGCTCTGAGCTTGAGGTCCTCACTTGACCTGTTTCTTTCTTTTGCTGGAGAAAGGGTCTTTGTGTGCATCTTGCGTCCTAAGACTTTGCCCGTCCTCTCCCAGCCTCCATCACTTTATGGGGTGTGGGCAAGGACGAATCCTTCTGCTTCTCTCGCCTTCAGAGGGCAGCAGTTCAGTTTCTTCTCCTTGAATGAGAGGATGTCTGTGAGGGTTGAAACGGGGCCCCGGATCACTGACTCCCTGACTCCTCCTTGCTTTCCCTGGCTGTCTTCCTCCACCACAGAGTGGGGGAGACATGGGGGCGCAGGCATTAGGGAGCCACACAGAAGAGGCTGGGCCCAGAGCCCCGTCAGGAATGGAAACCTCCCAGACTTCAGCTGGCCTCCAAAGGCTGGGCTGGGACTGGCCTGCACTGTCTGCCTCAACTTCCTACCCTCGCATCCCACCCGGAGTCCCGAGCTGTTCTCTCCAGTGGCTCCTGCTGGTGTCAGGTTGGTGGTGGTGTCAGCAG